GTTACGGGTTAATACAATCACATTTCTGAACTAATTATGGTGCTAGTAACAGAGAGTATCCCAAATCCTGAAAATTCAGAAAAACATGCAGTTTTCAAGTTAACTCACTGATATTTTAGCTGCATGCAATTGCTTCATGGGACCCTAATTACAGAACACTGTTAAAAGTAACGCAGACGAAACACAGGGGTTGCTGTGCATGAATGTTTTCCAGAATAATAATTAAAAAAAAAAAAATACTTAAAAACCCCTTGAATGGAGCGTTCAGTTGATTCCGAGAGCTTGACGTACCAAAGCTACATGCACAGGACCTGTGCTGTTTGGTTTGTCAGACCAGCTCTCAGAAAGCCAACTACGCATCAGTTAAATTGAGAATTAGAGTATGACACTTAGAGTGCTGCTCACAGAGCTTTCTTGCACAATTTCTACCACAGCTCAAAGTTGCAATTCAGTTAAAAAAATCAAACCCCATGCACACGTCAGGTGTATACGTGAAAAAGGTTGAATTATACAATAACATGAAAAATCTGCCTCCTTACTTCTAGCAAAGTACTATTCCTTCCTCCTTTTAACAATATCAGATAATCTAGAGCCCTTACATAACTGCTTACCCAAACTGTTCTATGATTCTGCGAAATACTTTGCTCTGGTTTGTACACTTGTGGACACCAAGTCCATGACACATAGATGCATTACAAAGAGACATTCAACAAACTTGTGATGGCAGCGGGAATGATTTTAAGCATCACCCAAGTTCTGCAGTCAGCTGCCCATTAGTTTGGTGTGTTTCTTCACACGAGTCAATCAGCTGGAGAGCTGAAAGCCAGAATTCATATTTGGCACATAAAATTATGTACATATGTGCACAAATGCATATAAAAAGATCATTAGCTCTTCGGATAAATTCTTAATTTGACACACCATTCTCAAGTGTTTCTGTACAGCCAAGACAACATTTTTCTAGACCATATGCTGGGACAGATATTACTATGCATTAGAGATTGATAATGGAAATTGCTAATATAACATAATGAGTGCTAGTTTTATTTCTGTTATAATACAGTATTCTGCTCTAACACAATACTCAAAATTGATTACTACAGATTTCTGATTCTATTTACATGGAGGTTATGCTTTTATATGTATAGAATGTACTAATTAGTGTGCTTAGACTTACACATGCAAGAAACTCTTGCATGATGCATTTTTGCTGGAATTATCTGAAGAAAATTTATAGAACAGAACAACTGGCGCTACTTAAAATCATTCTAAATTAACTTTTCTGCCTTCACGTCTCTGACAGAAAGCAAGTTTATTTCTCCATAATGACAGAAATTGTTCTTGATATATTGGTTAGTACTTAGCACAATATCAGCTTTATGTATTTATTTTTACAATTATTTATTGAAAAGGCTGTCATCTAAACAGCTACTTCTATTTGAAAAGACACCAAATTCTTCTGACCCCCTCTTTGACTGCTGCTGGAGACTGGCTACCTAAGATTTGAAAACTGTCTGATAACTAAAGATGGAAAAGACTGATGAATATTTCTGTGGCTGAAGTCAGCAACACTAAAAACTTAGGTCACTTGCATTATTCACTAGAGGGGGAAAAAACCTCTCACTAAAACACTCTAATTTTCTAAGTTTAGCTATAAAGTAAACATGGTTTTACAGATTGTATCGGATGTATTTTCTAGCAGGCAATAATTGTACTTCCTGCCTGTTCCTGAGGATGAAGGCTTTCCAGGATGACAGAGGGGAAGAACAGGCTTCTTAAAAGCATACCCAATACAAATAGAACTTGCAATTAGAGTTGAAGTTATGTATTAAGAAAATAACATTTAAAAATATGTTTTGTGGCCAAAACGATTAGTCTAATGCTGTGCTGCGTGGCTGAAACACTGTCAAAGCCATGGTAATTTCAAATTCCATTAAAGGCACAGCTGGGTAAAGATTCTGTGAAATGAATTCCCTAAGAACCCTTTTTCTCTTTAAATGCATTATACGTCCACTGACATAGTCTGAGTTTAACCACTGTGTGGATTTTGAGTTCAAACTACACCATTTGTATCAAAGAATATATGCTCCTTGGAAGATACAGGAAAATATGATCCAGGAAGACCTGATCCGTTTTTCTTCTGTACTGGGTCACAAACTCACTCTATGTAACTGGGTGTACTGGCAAAACTCATCAGCATCCTTGGCATTTTGTTATTCCAGAACAGCAAGTTGCAATAATTATACACGTTACTGAGAACTCAGGCACTTTTCTAAATTATGTGTATTGGGTGGAAATCATCTAAGTCATTTTTGGAAAAATCATGCATTGAAACTGGCAGCCTGGCATTCTGTCTTAATCTGACAGAAGTCTGGCATGTCACTCGTTGGGAAAGCATCCACACCTAGCAGATGTGAACTCTGAACATATTCCTACGTGATCCCAATTTTTCTCCCTGACCCTTAGGACTTCTGACAAGGTATTTTTACTTAAATGGGTAATGCCCTCATTGTGACAGAAGTACTCCTGCAGGACAAGTTGAATTACGTAACAAATTGTTTGGTTTTGTTTTCTTTTTTTTTTTCATAAGAAGTCCTCTACTAACTGTCAGTAGTAGTTTTTACTCATGGCTTGTCAACTATAAGCTTTTTTAAAATGTGAACACAGGCTGTCCTGCTAAGCACTTCTGGTTGCCTTCTGGTATTTCCTAGTTTAACTTTCAGATTAAAAAGCCTGCTACAGAGCACGTGTATTCTTTCATAGAAACAAAGAAACTAAATGCTGAGTACCACTGTTCTAAGTAGTCTCTCCTGCTTAAAACTGGGGGGGAGGGGGGAAAACGCAAACAACCGCCACCAAACAAACCAACCAACCCCCTCAAAACCTAGTGAAGAAGAAAAGGCCTGAACTTTTCAGCATTCTTTTCTTGTCAACTTCCATTATGACTCAAATTATAACGTGCTTGCAAAAAACGTGCTCTCTCAGCCACCCAGCACTTTTTAAGATGCACCTAATGGGTGTCTTCTTTATGTCATCACATCAGAAATGTAGGGTTTTTTGTTCTTTTACTACAATTTGCTGCCAGAAAAAACAACTGCTTGGGATTTTAGGAGGCAGAAAACATTTTATATAACTTAGAAGCGTATTCTGGTACAATTACAACAACGCAATCCGCATGCAGTGCTAGTTAAACTGCTGGGGTTACAGCTGCGCTCAGAGTAACTCCACAACAATCCCAGCAGTGAGAACTTGTGTGCAAGGCAGACGCCGTTCTGTAACACAGGACTCAGAGAATCTGCCTGCGCTCTGATCAGCCCTGCTGCAAAACTGGAATTGAACTTTCAACTTCATTTACTTCACGCTGCAGTTATGGGGACATGGCAAAAGGACAAGCGGGGCTTTCATGAAGGCTTCTGATTATAGACATGCCTGTAATAATTGTTTTTGAAGAGCTATCTCTGAATTTCTGATCAAGATTAGAGAAGAGAAAACATTTTTAAAAAACATCCATTGTTCAAAACAAATCTGTTGCTAGGACTGAAGAAAAAAAAACCTGTGAAGACTTGTGGGAAGTGGGATTTTAGTTTTATTTCTCTTTCAAAATACTTTCAATTTAAGTCAATTAATGTACAAAGTTATGAGTTGAAATTTAATTTCCTTTACCTAATTTTTACATTTTCATCAGTAAGAGTAAATTAAAGCTCTTTTCATCCTCATAATCAATTCTGCCCACAGTAATGGTGTATTCCAGTGCTTTCTATCCTTCTTTTTGAATATCATTACTATATATTCTCTTCATAAAAGAGTATCTGTATGTTATTGATGTAATTCATTCAGATCTTATACTAGGCTGAAAAGAACCACACACAGATGTTTAGTCAAAATGGAGAAAGCAGAATGTAAATAGTCATCTTTAAAGCCTAAACCAAAGATTAACTTCTCTGCTAGGCATTGCCAACATGATATGGTTATTATTAAAAAAAAAACCAAAACCCAGAACAAAACAGTAATTTTTGTAAGTCAGCAGATTTTAAAGTAATTAAGATGCACTCGCTCTCTGAGGTAGTGCCCAATCATCTCCTTTTGCCAGACTACCAATGAAGCTAGCATTATCTATTTACACACATTACAATGTGAAATGAAGGCACTTCTGCAATCAAAATTTACAAGGTCTTAGTAAAAAGAACAAAAATCTTACCACCAACGTCTATGAAGTGCTTTGCAGCTAAACCAGAACGCGGTGCTAGAAAACAAGATTTTGTTTTGGTAAGTACAGTAATTTATTTCTTTTAAAACTCTTACACAATATTTATAGGTTAGATGGTGTGTTCGCACAGAGTCATGGCAGCAAGAACTGTTTCCACAGTACCTCTAAAATAAATGTGATTTTACAGGAACTACTGGAAGTGTTAATGTATATATTGAACAAAGTAACAGCTGCTACAGGCTACAATAAAACTGCAGCCTTTAAGTGATATAAACATATCTTTATTTAGACCACCAATTGCAGGGTAGGTTTCTCCAAGGAAGGCAGCTGGGGCAGACGACTGTCTAATCTTGGTTTATTTCTGGCAGCTACCGCTGGCTTGGAATAATCTCAAAGGCTATTAGGCCAATCCATTCAAGTTACGACAGAAAACATTATTTGGCAAGCAGTTTACTAAGACATACGATACACAGATAAATTAAATGATGTGCAAGTTGCTGTGGGTTTTTTTTTTCTTTGGTGGGTGGGTTGTTTTGGTTTTACTCACCTTAGCCTACTTTGAGGCACTCAAACGTTACTTTCTTGAACATTTTCTTTGGGATATGAGAAATACACAGGCACTCTCCTTTTAGATGAAAGGAGAGGGCAAACATTGACCACGCTCT